AACCAACGGCTGCTTGTCAAGTTAATTATTTTTCCCGCGAACAGTTGGTTTGCTTAGCCACTCATTAACGCGGTGATTTAATGAAAAGTTAGCTAAACGGTTTGTTTTGCTCTTTAACCTTTTTTAATTTTTTAATGATGTCTACCACGTTTTGTAGGTAAATTGATTTTAACGGTAAGATGTGATTTAAAATTAATTTGATAGCGATAAACAAAGTTGGCAGTGAGCAAAGCTTGGATCGCCTCTAGCAAAACAAAAGTAGACGGCGATATTTTATAATGTAGTGCCTGGACTTGCGTAGTATAGAAACTTGATTCGGAGACTTGTGTTGATGTTAGAAAGATTTATATGCTTTATTAAGAAGTCTTTGTTCCTTGGAAAATCAGACAGAAGAGAAGGAAGATAATGTGGTAGTAAAATTTGCAATTGATTAAACTATTGCAATTACTTCTCGTAATTTATTTATTAGGAATCGAATGAAGAATTGTATAAGCGAATAAAATATATCATTCTGGTTGAATATGTACTAAGGTCCAATCCAAATCCGTTTAACACAACCTCTTCTCCTTCAAGCCTTAGTAGATTTTGAGCTGCTAAATTGCTTCAATGCTAGCGTAGAAGGTCATTATGATTCACGCAGAAGGGGATCACTATGTCACGTGTGCAGTTCATTTAGGCTCAGGGCAGCGTGTTTTCTCCTTTTTATGGTAATTTATTCGTTACTTGCAGACTGTAACAACTCAAATATCTACGCTCTGGTCTGTGCCGATGCTGCCTCATGCCTCGTTACAGGTTCTTCTCTTTCAGTTGTATGTAGGAGAGCGATGTAGTGAGAACTAGTTGTCCGCTAATCCAACAAAGCTAGTGTTGTGCTTTTTACTAGATGGAGAAGGTTGGACGACCGTGCTTTCTATACCCATGAAGTGTTTTATTTAGTCACATTTCTTCCAAAGTGAAGTATTTAATTGTTATCATAGATAAAAAGCGAACGTTGAGCAAAGGACCTCCAGAGGCTTAACAGCGTTCTAAACAGGTCTTTGGTGGCGTCAGTCACCTAGATGATTCCAGTTGACATTCAGTCATAAGATAATACCATTTATCAGCTAAGCTATTTAGCTGAGGGAGAGCGGGAAGCTAGGTTTAGAGTTGTGGCCGAGTTAGAGGAGTAGAGGTAGAGGAGGTTGGGATTACCTTTGTTGCGAGTGTTTATCAAGTCAACCACGCTCTTTATATGCCTGATATCGAGAGAGAGAGTGAGATATACGGGAAGGCTGATGAAGCAGTAGCGCAAGATGTCACCCTTTTAGCATGCATCAATTGGGAGACTCCATTAGAAGAGTCATGCTCTAGCTGCCTTGGTTGCTGTGTAATGAGCTGGAATTTATTCAGGGATGCATTCATGCAGAACCCCTATGTGGCTAGCAAGCCGTTACTTATTACCAAATCAAAAACTACTCCAAGAGTGGAGTGGGAGCGATGCTTAAAGCACTGTGTGATAGTCAACTTGGGTTAGCGTTGACCATGGATAAGGTCAGTGACGTGAGGTTTGAGAATTGACTTAAGAACGAGCGAATCGATTTTAAACACAAGTGGTTATGTTTTTTCGCTGCACTTGGTTTATGCCGGAAATGTATAAGTCGCTTAAACAAAGCATTTGTGGTATGTTTTAACAGACTCTCAATCAATAGCGAACTTGCCAAACTTCAAAAAACGATCGAAGTACATATGGTGTACAGGAGCTTACCCTACAACACATGGTGCTGCTCTGGATGCACTGATAAATCTATCGTTATTTAATACTTTTATCTGTGGCCATCTGTAGCCTTTAAAGAAATGGGTGCTGGATGACACCGAGTAGATTTTTAGTCTCCAATGTTGTTTCAATGTCATTGGATTAGACCACCATTTTCTTTGCTGCAGAGTTACTAAAATGTTGTGTTTCTTGTGGCTGAGTGCTGGCTTAACCAACAAATTTAGCCCGAATTTACATAATGTAAAATATTTACTGATGGCTCCAAAATTTACACAAGGTCAGAATTGAGTCTACTCGCATATCGAAGGGAAATGGGACAAGCTACACAGCTACAAGCTGGGGAAAACGTATGTAAAAGCGCATTGGACCTTATTAGTGTGATTTCTGGCCTGCAAAATCCACTGCTGATCAGTTTATTACAATGAGCAAAATTTTGGAAAAGATTCTCGATAAGCAAGTGGAAACACACCATTTATTCGTCTAGTTTAAATCCGTTTCCGTTAGCACGAATGGAAGCTTCATTCAAATCGCTAAGAGCCTCCCTAACCCGTTCGAACACAAACCAGTTTTTACTTAAAACCTTCGTCAATCTAGCATTGGAAAGCGTACGATTTTGCTTACTCCACCTTAGGAAAAGGAGAAATAAGGACCTTTTCCTATGCTGGAGTTTATTGTTTACAGATGCACGAGGGCAACGCTCAATGAGGTAAAAATAAAGAAAAGTTACGGAAGATAATGGGGACAACGATAAAAGTAAAGATAAAGATGAATGAAAAAAGATTAAGATAAAGTAATTATAAAGAAAAATATATAGATAGAGATACAGATAGAGAAATCACCACTCATATACTCCCCACACCTGAACTTGTCACCCCTTAATTTACTAACCGCCTTCAAGCTCACTGCACCTAAATTCATCACATCTGAGCTCACCTCCAACTCACAGCACCTAAATCTACCACACCTAAATTCACCCCGCCCAAACTCACTACATGACATGAGATCACACAATACGATATCACAAGACATGATATCAGATGACATGACATCACATAACATCAAATGACATAACATGACATCGTATCACATCAAATCGCATTACATTTGGGGTATTCACAGTTTAATTTTAAAGTTAAAAGGTGGCAACTTTAACAAGATAACACACTCGAACTGTGAGCAACCGTCACACATGTGTTTCAAATTGTCAATAAAATGAATATAGTTAGATATATATTTAAAAATCTTTCAAATTGCGCCCACCTTATGTTTTTCTGCTTCAGTTTCCATTTTTTCTTAGCGCGAATAATTAGCTGATCAGAAATGCCAGTTTAACACAAAACAAAAACATGAGACAAAGTCGAGTAATTTTGCCCAAAAGTGTTATCTCTAATTAGTATGGGAACCGACAACAAACAAAGTTACCACATGGTAAAATGTTTTAAAGTTACCAGGTGGCAAAATTAAAACAGTAGATAATATAGAACTGTGAGTACCCCAATTATATTACATAACATCACATCACATAACATATTCTTACGTCATTTCACCTAACATTATTTCAATACATATTTCATCTCGCCTCAACTCAACTCAATTGAACCCACCTCACCTAACCTCAGCTCAGCGTTGCAAATCATAAATAAATATATTTGTTAAATTTCAATTCAATTCAAGGTTGAATTTAAAGGCTTTACTTTTATAGGGACGAGGGTGGTGTATATGCACAAAAAGATAATGATAAAGGTAAAGATAAGGACAAACGTGAGTATAAAGATGCAAAAAAATAAAGGAAACTCTCTTCTTCTTCTTTTTTGGCGCTGTAACCGCCTAAGCGATTTTGGCCGAGTTCAGCAAAGCACGCCAGTTGTTTCTGCTCTGTGCCAACTGACGCCAATTGGAAACGCCAAGTGAAGCCAAGTCCTTCTCCACCTGATCTTTCCATCGCAGTGGGGGCCTCCCTCTTCCTCTGCTACCACCAGCGGGTTCCGAGTTGAATACTTTCAGAGCTGGAGCGTCGGTGTCCATTCGAACGACATGACCAAGCCAGCGGAGCCGCTGTATTTTAATTCTCTGCACTATGACCATATCGTTGTAAAGCTCATACAGCTTATCGTTCCATCGTCTGCGGTACTCGCCGTCGCCAACGTGTAAAGGCCCGTAAATCTTCCGCAAAATCTTTCTCTCAAATACTCCAAGAGCCGCCTCATTGGATGTTGTCATTATCCATGCTTCTGCGCCATATACCAGCGCGGGCATGATGAGTGACTTATAGAGCGCGGTTTTCGTACGTCGAGAGGGGACTTTACTCCTGAATTGCCTACTCAGTCCAAAGTAGCACTTGTTGGCAAGAGTGATTCTACGTTGGATTTCAATGCTGACATTATTATCGGTGTTAATGCTGGTTCCCAAGTAAACGAAATTCTCTACTTTCTCGAAATTGTAACTGTCAACAGTGACGTGGGTGCCAAGGCGCGAATGTACTGACTGTTTGTTTGATGACAGGAGATACTTCGTCTTGTCCTCGTTTACCACCAGACCCATTCGCTTTGCTTCCCTATCCAACTTGAAAAAGGCAGAACAGACTTCGCGGTTTTTGTTACCGATGATGTCGATGTCATCGGTATAAGCCAGCAATTGCACGCTCTTGGAGTAGATTGTTCCTGAGTGGTCTAGTTCTGCAGCTCTTATTATCTTCTCCATCATCAGATTAAAGAAGTCACATGAAAGGGAGTCGCCCTGTCTGAAAACCCGTTTTGTGGCGAACGGATCGGAGAGGTCTTTTCCAATTCTGACGGAGCTGGTGGTGTTGCTCAACGTCATTTTACACAGCCGTATGAGTTTTGAGGGGATGCCAAATTCAGACATTGCGGCGTATAGGCAACTAAATAAAGGAAACAGATTAAGATAAATGTAATTGTAGAGAAAAGGGTAGAGATAGGGTCAAAGATATGAAACAGATAGGATAGAAATAGAGAAAGAATTAGCGACACAAGCAGAGCGATATAAAGCGGATGGACTAGTTTCTTTTGTTGTTGTATGATATACGATGTTTTGGAATAAAATATAATCTTAAGCCTATCACATTATATTAACTAGCCAGTCATTTTATTCACAAACTAGATGCGTAACGTACTTAAGTTGCACTTCTCAAGTGTGGCCCAATTTCAATTGTTTTTTTTTTTAATTTAGTACGGATTTTTTAAATTTTATTTTTGAGAAGAAAACAGTGTTGTTTAGATCTTTATTCATTCGACAATGGGAAAAAGGATCATATTACATATACATACATATGTATGTATGTATGTATGTAGATATTTCTACTTCACTAATCACATTTTGAAATGTTCCACTATTCAATTAATGAATGCCACTGGTTGCGCATGTTGTATGGGTTTGTTCGGCTGTTGTTGCTGTAAATGCAAACGCTGATGTGTGCTGCTGGCTGCTGTTCGGGTGCGTACAATAGCTCGAAATCCTCCACTTCCGTCTACGCTGTAATAAACGTTGCGCACAGAACCGTCTGGCTGCAACAACCCATATTCTCCTTTAACTGTTGTGCCTTGGCGCTCCTCCTGATGATGCAAATGCACCATTGATTCTGGATGGTCAACGAAGTAATGATAAGCGTACCTCAGCTGAAATGGCAAGTAAAAATTGAAATATTTGATTAAAAAGTTTCTTAAGTGGTTACATCACTAGATTCCCGAAGGTTTCTGCATTTAATAAATGCCATTATTTTACTTTTTATTTGTTATTGTTGTTTACTTTAGTTGTTGCTTTAAGGGCCAGCTTTTCAGGGCACGGTTAAACCTGTCTGAAGTTCAACATAAGTTTAAACGCTCGAGCTATGTGCTTTAAACTAAGATTAGCCAATCAAAAGCTAGTCAGCTTTTAAATATAAACGCAGTTTACGTGAATCTAGGTAAAATGTGACAATTTGTTTTTGGCTCAGAAGTTCGCGTCTAACTTTTAATGTCGGGCTTTTCTTTTTCTTGACCTTTCAGGTCACATTCTGCGAGTGAAAAGGTCAGTAAGTTTTCTATGTTCAATAGTCCCAAAAATGTATGGGATGTATGTAAATACATATAAGTATTGGCAATGCTATGCAATCAGTTTTATCTCGCTCATACTCACCTCATCATTGTTGTGTTGATTTTTGTAATCTGAATAAAACTCTGATAAAAGCGGATTCTGCTGCCGTTGGGCGGTTGAAGGTTGAGAATTGCTTGCAGACAATTGTAGATATATTATGCAGGCAATAAAGTCATACATTAATAGCTGGCGTGGCTTCATGGTCTGTGAAAAAATAATGAGCTAATTAATTTGACTGCTTAAATACATTCATATTAGATCAAGTACAAAAAAACAAGTCCTGCAATGCAATCAGACTTTTACTCAAATTTTTAGTATCTGATCCTCCGTAAATCTCCCTTCTCTACGATAATTCTAATAGACGTCGCATCGACCCCTTATTTTTGCCATGGGAATAACACGTAAGAAAATGATTTCTTCTCTTCTCAAAACGTCCGAAACTATAAGAATACATTGATTATACGCGATTTAAGTAAAAAGCAAACTTAGATTCTTTAAATTCCTAATTTATGCTTTTTAAGGGATTTCATTTAGCTTGCCCTGTTTGGGTCACGTCTAGTAATTACAAAAACAAAAAAATAGGAATTTAAGAGTCTGAGTCTGCTTATTACTTGATTCGCTTTTCGATTAATCTCAAAGGGGAAATAATTTTCTTACGTCTTATTTCGCTGGAATAACACGATTGGTACATTTGCACACTTCGCAGCAACAAAGTGGTATTGTCTAGAAACTTTTACCGAGAATGAGTTCAGCTCAACAACAAGTTTCTACACCACTCCTCTCTGTAACTGTGAAAATGTGCAAATCTGTACAAATGTACAAATCGTGTGATCCCTGCTTTAGTTATTCCTATAGGGCAATTAAACGATCGATGCGGTATCTCTTAGAATTACTGTAGACCTGAAGATCCACGGAGGATCATTACTAAAGCACTAAGAGATTGATGCTTTTACAATATGCTAGTGTTTGGCCGAACTTCTCCTCCGATTGGTGCGTGCGCCTTGAAGTTGTCACACAGAGGCGAGGGACCTACAGAAATACACTGGGAGGTTAGCTATTGCCTGCCGAGGGGCGGCTGCTATTAGAAAAAACTTTATTTCTCACATTTTTCGATGTTGGTCGGAGACTGGGCTTGAACCCAGGCCGTGTGGAATGGTAGGGCCCACCTTAAGCCAATATACCACAGCGGTGGCCTATGCATGAACATTAGGGTGGTCAAAAAAAAAAGTAAAATCCGAATTTAAATGCTCTCACCTCCTAGGATAATTCTATATCGAAAAAATATACCTATGATTTTTTATTTTTAAAAAAGAGGTGTATTTGTTTTTTAACTTAACTATAGGAGGGTTGCCACCTGTTTAAAAAATAAAATTCAATTTCAATTAAGGGAAACAGGTAAGAGCAGTATGTATGTAATACCATATGGGTGCCAAACGAAATGGTTTTAAGATGGTAATAGTTTGAAAATATTTTGAACAAGGTTGCCACTTGCTTGAAATGTCGAATTAAGTTGACTTATACACAAACTATATGAGACGTCAAAATATGAATGTCTAACGAAAGTGTGTTAATAAATCTTTATTTTCAACGCTAAGACTATTTTGAGGTGATGGAAAAGTGTTGCCACCTGTTGAAATAGTTAAACTAAAAGTATTAAATAAGCTAAATGAATTATTAATTCGTGGGTTTCAATCTACTAAGGTGGTTTCGAAAATCTTTATTTATTAACCATATTAAATGGGGTTGCCACATGTTTAAAAAGCCAAACTCAACTTAATTTATTACTTAATTCAAATATGTATCGCAATGTTAGACAAAGGAGCCTTAACAAGAGTTTGGCTTGAAAATACTTTTCAAGAGGGCTGCCATCTGTTTGAAACATTTAATTTAACTAACTAATGCAGAATTTATGTGAATTATACAAATACGGGAGTCAAGCGAAAGAATGTTAAGAACTATTTAGTCTGACCGTTTGGAATGTTTGAGAATAGTGAAGTGTTTAAATAGTTGCATTCAAATTATTAAATAAGTTCAACGAATTATTAAAGGATGGGTATAAATCGAAATGGGTTTTAAAACTCAAATTCAAATTATCTCTATTATTATCTGCTATTGAAACGCACGTGTATCACAATGTCAGGCGAAAGAGATTTAAGAAGAATCAAGTTTGAAATAACTTTTGGAAAGGACTTCCACCCGCTTGAAAAGTCCAATTAAATTAATTTTTATATGGGGCATTCCATACCAAAACGGACAGGGTTCACACTTCTTGTGTTTGATTTGTTTCACATTTTTAATAAATAAATAATAAATAAATGTGAAATTTGAGCTTGATTAATACATTTTTAAAAACTTTACTGCACAAAAATAAAAACAAATCGATTTAATAGTTTTCCAAATATCTCGAGAACGGGGCGAGGAAAAGATTTGAAAAATAATCACACATACACACATAAAAATTCTCTATGAAAAGAAATATTTTAAAATTTTTTTCTTGAAAAATTTTTCACATACCAATTTTTTGATAAAAAAATAGTTTTTAAAAATCTGCCATCTCAAAAAAATCACATTGGTAGCTCTGAGTATTGCGCAATATTTAAGTATAATATTATGGGATGTACTCTACAATAATTTGAGTTGAAATTCTTCTCATCACTAAAAAACGGCTACACGGATTTAAATTAAATATGGCACTTTGATCGCTTATAACTTTGTTTTCGAAATTCAAGTTTGTGCGTTTTAACGCCATGCGGGCTCACTAGTGTATGTATATTGCTTGAGTTGTGATCAATCGTTTTCCCAATAACGAAACATGTATATGCTTGTTACGATTCAAGCCCTGTGAAAACATGTAGCTTGTTGCAGCTCTCTGATAAGTACATATGCATGCATATGTACATATGTATGTACGTAGATATGTATATGGAAACGACCAAATGGGTATATTGGAATGATCAAGCGTGACTATGAGATTAAACTGTGAAGTGAATGGGCGGTAGGGCCAAAAATAAACCATTAACACCCGGCGACAATGGCAATAGCAAAAACAACAATAACTTTAGCAACACTAACTATCTACTTACCTATAATTATGAGTGCAACACTTGACTGGCGATAGCGCATTACCTTAACGCTGCCACACATCTCATCGAAAAAGCAGGAAAACACCAAGCGCACTTAAGCAAATGCTTAACCGGTACTTGGGTTCCTTATTATTTTCATCGCAAATCGCAACAAAAGAAAGGGTCAAATGCTTTGAACTTTAAAATCATTTAATCAGTAGCGATTGTAGTCAGTTTTTCCAGTGCTTGCTTGTTGCTTTCTCATTGTTACATGTGAAGTTATCTACATACATATGTACATATGTATATGTACACACAGAGATTTATGTATTATACAATTTATCTATTTAAGTACATAAAATAAAAAGGACGAGTCACTTGTGCATGCAAGTTATACAAAAGGCGACTTGGGTAATTGTATGCGGCTCAGTCAATTGCAATCATTAAATATTTTGTGAAGAAAATTCGTTTTCGCGATAAATTAATAATTGCTCTTCATTAAATTTGAATTGTTTGGGTTGACTAAAAATCACGGTGATTTATAAGCTTAGTTTGAAAATCTAATAGTCACTGTAGTATGTGAGTCGATTGTTCCTCAATTGATGCGTATTGATCTACGGACGGTTTTCTATAGAAAATCTATAGTCTTTTAAAGAAATGTGAATTCGGCTTGGCAAATCCCACCTTTCCTATGTGAGAGAGTAAAGACCAAAAAACTCAACGGCCAGCCTCACTTTCTTCCCCGACTAAATGACTCCTAAAGAAAGCGTCTTAAATTTAGCTGAAATTTATGGGTAATAACATATGCAAAAAAAACTCCAATACTTGGAAATGTGCAAATTATGATTAATTACGCTTTAAAAAAAATGGAATATGCAGTTTTGTAGCCCATTTTTGGTTTTAATAATGTTCAACTTTAAAGATGCTAGAACTTGCCATTGATTTTTGGCGATTTTTTTTCTTGACGTTTATGCGCATTTTCTTCCACATAAAAACAATTGTACATGTGAAGAAAATGAGCAACACTTTCAGAAAATAAATTACCAAAAATCAACAGTAAGTTCCAGCATCTTCAACTGCACCCCATTTCACTAAAATTCAATGGGCTACAAAACTGAGTACTATTTTTTTTTGCAAAATGATAATTATGAAGGGAAATATAGAGTTAACGAACACAAAATCGTTGTCTTGTTTTCTTTATAAAAATAAGTAAAATGCGTTATTTGACAAAACATATTGGGAAATCGATTTATTTATTTTACGATTTCTTTCTGCATAGATTATTTTTATTTCGATTTGAATCGATTAAAAAATAAATAATTATTTTATTTCGATCTGGCATCCTTAATACAGAGGAGGGCAAGTGGGGCAATCTAGACTGAACTAATTTTTTTTAAGTTCTAAAAAATTAATAAGCTATAAAAGTGAGTACCTACGGGTTTTTTGAGAATTTCAGAAAACTTATTTCTGTTTAAAACTAAAAATTTATATTTATAACTATGCGACAGAAAAAATAAATTTCACCATGTTTTTCGTTTACATAAACTCTCTTGTAAAAACTTGTCCTTGATCGGATCAGTCCTGAATCATATTCAGGTGTTGGGACATCTTCTTCGCCTTCATATACCGGTGTTCATCTTTCTCACTACATTCCAGCTCACTTGGTCAAGCGGTTCTCTCAAACACCTTGTTGGTTTCAAATTTACTACCTGCCTAATGAAATGCACTTGCAAAAGGCAACAACAAGAGTACAAACAAACAAATAAACAAATTTACACACAAAGGAAGTGACAAAAAATTAGAAACCGGCTGGCAACAAGCCTAGGCCCAAGTATTGAACGGCGACCAAACTATTTAAGGACGTAAACGGCGCTAACTATCAATATGTAACCAACCAACAGACAATATGAATATCAGGGTGACCCAAAAATTGTGAGACAAATTAATGGATATCTAAGTGCGATCAAAAATAGGACAGAAGACCCGATATTAAGAAAACAATTATAACAAAACAAACCCTTATTTGTAGGAGCTCCCGAGGTCAATCAAATTTCGTTTTTTTTTCTAAATCACGCTCACAAAATGGATGTTTTCCTATACCCTGGCGCGTAGCTACGAGTTGGCCCGTAGCTCTCCACATCTCTCATCATATCCGCGTTTTTCTATGACGCAGAGGTGTG